CAATCTTTTTTCATACATCTGAAATGAAACTCCGAAGTTCCGTTTTAAATTCCTCTTTGAATTTCACTTGATTAATGCTGGCAAAGACACTTGAACTCTCATATCGGAATACAATTGCAAGAATAACCAACAGAAGTACCAAGGATCACTTGATAAGACAGAACAGAGAAATTATTACGTCGAAATAACATACATTTCAAAGTTTTTTAAATAAAGCTTTAAATTAAACTCTTGATACTTTTTTCTAAATTTATTTGAACCTATGACACACTTTATTTTATTCGCTACAACTCACATTGCCTCTGTTTCACACGAACTTGATATTTCGCTAAACAAAGAGTACTCCCCACTTACAGAACCATCCGATATCAGTATACGTAATGTTAACATGAACTTGCATGTTATATTTGCCGATCTGTTGTGTAAATTAAACCGGTTGAACTTTCTTTCCACGAACTTTGCTCGGATAAAATTGAGCAAAGTTCCGCGGCGAATGAATCATGTATGTAGTTCGATGATTAAAATATACCACCTAACACTTAATTTCCTCATACATGCTTCTGGGTACATAATATGGGGCAAGCATGAGTAAAATTTTAAACGAGAACGATGGTGGGAACGCTGTAGCAATATGGGTTACATGCTCGTATACTACGCCTAATTAATTTAGGGTACCCGTGGACTCTATTATATTCTACTTACTTAATTTTTTCATTTCAATAATATTCAACTTCTAAAACTAAAATAATCTGTCTACCATATTTCCTAGATTCGCTCTTTTACGAATGTACGTTTTTATGTATAAGCCGATGAAACAAATATAGCGAGGTCGTAAATGAAAGGATTAAGTAGCGATACATGCAATGATACTCAGGGTCACATATGGCATTTTACGTTTTTCGATTGGAACTAAATCATAGCTAAAGCGCACTTCATGCAGCTCTGACTGAGGTTTCGAGCCCTTATCTTATCAGGTTTCTGTCGATTCGCTTGTCAATATGCACGAACGTGTAAGTTTTCACGCAGCAAGTAGCAAAGATAGATGTGTGAGAAATATAAGGCTGAATAAGCGAACGGAGTATCAATGGATGAGAATGGAAAGCTATTGTAAGCCAATCCCATTTTGTAGCCGGCAGGAAAAAATTAATAAAACATATGTACGTCAATTTTAACGCCTGAGCGAATTTACAACCTCACGATATTTCTTCCACCGACTATACGAACCTGATTGCACCGCCCCATTTCTCTGTCTTGCCACTTTCATGAGACATGGGTTTTTGCCTACACAGATTGTCCGACCATGGAACCTCCGCGCAAGGTGGGAAGGTTTGCCAGCGCGCAGACTTAAATTGCCCATGTCTGATCTAGAGTGTTTCAGGTTTCTCCCGGCAAATTATACCAGCATGCACCGTGAGTTCAAATAAAAGAAAAAATACAACAAGTGAGAAAAATAATTCGAAATAAAAACGTAGTGAGCTGCCTTCGTACAGTATAACGTGGGAATACGTTAACAATATGACGTATCGAACGCATTATGTTTGATTTTGATCGTAATGTCGGCAGAATATTAGTAAATTGAAATTTGTTTTACTGGAAATTGGAAAAATAACGTAGAAGCAAATGACTGCTTAGCAAACTTTTCAAAGTAAACGTCCACCTCTTGCTGTTTCCACAGTACTTGAACAATGAGAACAAAAAATGGAAATTAACGGAGACCTAATAAGAGCAATTAACTGTACAGTATAGCAAAATTATTGCCAACAATGCACTGTGACGTTTCTGAACTTAGTTAGTTTACATAAGCATCGGTAATTTTGCACTTTACTAATTGTAAGTCTTACTGGTTACAGCTGTTGCATTCGTTGCAGCTGTTATTGATTCTACATGTAATTTGCTAATGTTGTTATTCAAGTAATGACACAGGATTATGCAGGTTGAATTTGCATTTGATGTTATTATGCGTATCGGACGAAATCTAAGGTCAGATAATTAAACGTAAAAAAGCGAATATTAAATAATTGTTTGAATATGGAAGAAGCGAGAAACATTAACATAGAACGCTGGTGAATTGTTAATTTGGAAATTGCGAAATTGAAAATTTCTGTCTCTACTATACTGTACTGAAGTGATGTAAGTATGTCCACTGCAAAATTTCTTTCATCCAAACTATACATATCAGCAATACTATCATGAAACAAGTGAAACTACCGTTTCTCGAGTTCTATTTCTTTCTCCAATAACGAGAATGTAATTAGAACTACAAACAGAAACTGAGAACAATCAGTGTGGTCCATAAATTACATAATTCTCTGGACACTTGTTTTGCATAGATAACAGAACTGTGAGAAACACAATCCAGGAACAGTTATAAATGTGAAACATGCGAAAAGTGTAAAGTGATACTGAAAACTTGACCTTGTTTAAAAGGCACTCTATTTGATTATGCGTTGGATACGCAATGCTCACCTAAAAAAAGACGATTACGCAAGAAGAAACGAAAGAGAATCGCGTAGGCCCGTGTTTTTCCCGTCTCTTGTTAATTTACAATTTTTTTTTTTCTTCCTCAGTTTTTTCTTCAACCACGCGTCACGCGTGTTTGCTAATTCGCCTGCGTGCAATTAGTAAACACAATCGCGCCACGCAAATGATCTTCACGCGTCTCCTCTTATCTGTGCAAATACGCGACGTGTATTAATAGCGGTTTAAAAATTCGAGAAACAATTTCCATGTGAAATTGCGTCAGAAGCGAATACGACGACAGACGGAACGGGGGAACCGCTGAAAACAAAACGATCGATCAAGAGGAATACCAGTTTTCCTACCGGTTTTTCTCAAACTTACTATCGTATTCATCATCCGCGTGTGTCTTATTATCACGAGGAAAAAGGATGCACGATTTACATTGTTCGCGGGATGAATTTAATTCACGATACCGAGAAACACAGTAGAAAATGACATTTCATTATAATTGTAAATCTTGTGTGTTGCCGCTAATTTCCATGATATATACGATGATTTTAACAGAAGTACAACTGTGTAATGTGTTTGTTTTTAACGTGAGCTTGTACATGTAGCAGCAGGAGGAAAATGTGAAATCAGAATTGTCGAAGAATCAACGTTACGTCTGTATACACTGTTTACTGATAGGAAGAGCTGAATGAATATTGACTTTGGTGGATAATAGAAATAAGTGAAAGTGTATCGCAAATATGAACACGAATAGGAATATTAATTTATTTACGTGTAATTGTGTAAATAATGGAAACTTCGAGGGCGATTTTCATAAAAAAATAGGTGTCAAATATTAGAATGTTCTTTTGCTAAGTATTTAAAAGAGACTCGACAAAATTATTCGAAATAATGGCTACCAAGCTTCCCATATTCATCCCGTAACATCGTTTAACTTACGTTCCTTACAAAATAATGATTTACTTATTTACTCTTTTTCTTCTAAATGTATAAAATATGTTTGAATGAAACTTCGTAATTTAGTCTACTATGTATTACCATTTTTTGAGCTACGTTGCTTTTGTACAAGAAAAGGCACGTTTCCAGACACTGTCAAATTACTTTCTGTGACAAGCGTAACTATACACGTGCTGGACAAGTTTTTGAGCGCAATTATTTCGATATAAAGTTGAGAAAAAGTGTCTATTTCTGTTGGTAGAATTGCTCCTTTCTCGTCTGTGCCGCTCAACTCACGGCACACACTGTGTATACACCCTTAATAACAACCTGCCGACGTAAAAATATTTAATTCGCATTTCCTGACAGTCACTGTGAAATAACGTTTTTCAGCACGAGATACGTCTTGCTCCGAAATGATTTCTCGGTAAAACAGGAACAGGATTTCTCGATAATGCGTTCATGCCGTTTTAACCTTTATTACGTTTAAGTATAGCAAGTGACGAGGAAACCAGTTTCGTACAAAAAATCCGATCGACAGTTCACATGAACCGTAAAATGTACGGTAACCTCGAGACACTGGAAACCAGCCTTCATTTGTCGAGTATGCAACTTCAGTTTCCATGTTAGGCGAGTGGAAAGATCGCGACGTATATATTTATATATATCGCCTCTACAGTGTCTTTCTATAGATCAAAAGATACTCTTCGTGGTTGAAACATCAATTTTTCTTTCGGACGTACACACGCATAAACCGATTCTTTATGCGAGAAATGCAACGATGCTACTCGCTTCGGTAATGAAGCCATTGTCTTTCGCGCAAATAAATTTTGTGTCCGAGGACAAACAGAGCACTGAAGGTGATCTAATGGAATTGCAAAGGCAACCTACTTTGAGCCCATAAATTGTTTGGGCGAGATAGATCCACGGAGATAAGAACGAGAGAACTGAATGATGCATTCAAGTAATTTTTCGAACGATCTATACAGATTTCTAAAATAAATGGAAAATAGAGGAGAAATACTTATCGTCACAATTTTCCCTATTTTATTTCCCTCTCTTACACTTGCTAAACAGAAAGGAATTTTTGGCAATTTGTTTATATTAATTTCTATTGCAATTGTTGGATTATAAGGAGAAATGAGTATGTGTCTGTGTAATAGTAACAGCAAAAATAATCAACATACTGAGACAGATTAATATAAATAAATATATATAGAAATAACATAGTAACCATCTGTTTAGTATGGGTGACGCAGATACGTTTTTTTCTCTGCGTCTTGCCGATGTTTTTTTTTTTGTTTGATTGATTGCATAGCGACGTGCCTTCCTCGCGGATAAAAGATAAAGAAGATTCATAATGAAAATAATATCTTTTAATTTATTACCATAATTCTAACAGCAATGGTGCAAAGTATGTGTATTACGGTGCTGGTTAATTATATTAGACAGATGTGTCCCATTTTAATAATTATTACTAATTTAATATAATTTCATTGAAGCTTCTTAGGCATCCGAAAATTGTCTGCATTTAATTTCCCTATCATGGCAATATGAGATTGAATTAATATTAAATAGAGAATAGATTGACATACCATAAGTGTTGGTTTGCGTATTCTTCATATCACTGCCTGGTTGTGCAGCAATTTCGTTTCTCTGTGATACGTTCACGGTTTTATTTTCGTTAATGTGTGCTATCTGTAACATACGAACGATTGAAATTTATAAATTCGTATTACAATCCAAAGTAATTTATAATTTGCGTAATTTTGCTTTTAACATGTTTGCATAGGTATTAACTTATTTGCTATCTCTAATCAATTTTTGATTGTTATCAAAACTGCTTTCACGAGACGTCGTTTAAATACCTTAACGACTCATCAATCATAAAACACGTGAATCCATTTATTGCCTTTTTCGAACTTTTATCTGACAGCGTGTTTATCCATATCTGTCTCTAAGTTCTGCAGAAAAATTCCGAATATTTTTCATCCTTGAGATACGTTGAAACTGAAAATTTTTGAAATAAAAATTTCGTGACGATTTATAGATCCATTTGGATTAACCGAATCTGTATTATCGCGCAATTACATCTTTGCAAACAGATAAGTGTTTTATCGTTTTCAACATTAGATACAGATAACGAACTTCAATAGTATTTGTATCTGTAGTCTATTTGTAAGATAAACAAAGGAAACGAGAAATGTAAATGGTGCTTGTGTTGGATAACTTATAAGTTATCGTCATTCTTGGTGAATGTAAACAGTGAATTACATGGTTTCGATAAAAATAAGGAAATGTTAATGAATCACATTTTTTTCAAAATACACTGTACTTGTATATAGAACGATGTATGAACAAAAAACGCGGAGATAAAATGTTTGCAATGGTAAGAATTAATTTACACAATCTAATACTCGTAGCTAGAAACTTCCTGGATTGAAGGAAAACATTAATAGACGTTAGTTAAATTATCATAGTACGAACCCTTAAATTTGATAAAAAAGAAAAACGTAAGCGCCTTCTCATTCCACAACTTTTTCCTATTCCCTTTTAATTTCTTTAGCTAGAAACTTCCTGGATTGAAGGAAAACATTAATAGACGTTAGTTAAATTATCATATTACGAACCCTTAAATTTGATAAAAAAAGAAAAACGTAAGCGCCTTCTCATTCCACAACTTTTTCCTATTCCCTTTTAATTTCTTTGGATTTTCATTCAAATATTTTTACGGGACGACCTAATACTTTCACAGTTTCTCTAATTTTCCTCTCCACACCGTTCCTCTCCAAGCTGAATTACCACCGCCGCAAAAAAAACAAAAAACAACGCATGTATTAAAACTTCGAGTCCCAGTTCCAATTGATTACAGAAAGAAAAAAAAGAAGCGAACATCAATCGTGACAACTAGGACTGACACAAACATGTCACAATGCGTCTGTTCCCGCCACGCTAAAACGCATATGAGTCACAGCCGCGTAATCGAACGATTCGTGATTACCAAGGTGCAGAAACCGGCGATTATACATATATCCACGTAACGCGTATTCCCGCGTTCGCAATTTCAAAGCGAGACGTCAGAATCGCGGTCGAGACAATATAAGTCTCCTCCAATCAGAAGGACAGAATGTTATTGACCCGCCGCGGCGGAGTCGTGACAGAGGGAAAGGAAAAGCAAAAGGAAAACGGGCAGCGAGCAAAGAAAATCGCGAATACCTGCGGCTCGCGCGATCCTTCAAGAATGCAGCCACGCTGCTCCGCCTATTGCCACGGATAATTACTGTTATAAGTCGTACACAGGATGCTAATTACGATTAAGCCACTTGGAACTCTTCTGTGGCGTCGACACGCAACTCAGACTGTCAATTTACTGTTTTCTTTCTTATTACACGATTACGCCCATACTCGCGCGCAAAAACCATTGTTAAAGATTCGCGTAAAGAGACGATTCCCGTGTGTTTATAGATTCGCTATGGCGTCATAATTCGTGTGATCCATGGATCTATTAATACTTGCAGAGCAGATTCGAGGAGATGATCTTTACGGAATTTGTCTGGACTGACAAGATTTTTATTTTTCGTTGAATGTGTTTTTTTTTTAATTCAAAGGCTATTTGAATTATTTATATATGATAATGGTTTATCAAGTTTTGAATGAAAATTTGTATATCTTCGTAATGGAAATTTTGGATGTTTTCATACATCGATCAGAGTTATTTTTGATTCGAGTGTTGTTATTATTTAGTCTTCTTATCGTTGTTCGACTAATTGAACAAAACCTACGCTACCGTTCGTAAGTCCACTACTAGTCAAAAGTTTGGAATCACCTGTCAATCTAGATCAATATCGAATCTGTTACTAACTCTTTGTAGATCTGAAATTGATGTTGTAGAGATCGACAGAAGTTTGCCTCGTTTCGATTGATTTGAGAGATCAAAACTTTTCTTTAAAAATTTTTGTGCAATTTGCAATGCACAATCTCTATCCTCGATCTATACTCTCTTTATTCAAGGATGTGATAAATCTTTTTAAAAAAAATTACATTTTTCAAAATAAGGTTTACAAAGCAAATTAAATCCTTCACTTCTTCCTTGGAAACTGGTTAAATGAATCTGCCTATTGGAACAATGAACATTGTGAAGAAATGGGTGTGCAAATATTTATGAACAAGTGTATATCTCAATCTTCGTGTGAATTCCGTTTTAGCAGAGCAACGTATTTAACATTGTTTGTAATAATTGTCTGATTTACTAGATTAATACGTTGCTAAAGTATTTGTGGTATAAAGAATTTCCTTGAGCCAATGTTTACAAAACTAACCGCCGTTAATCAGGTTTCTGCAACATTACCATAACCATACGCTGATTTATCTTATTGTGCAAAATATGAGATACCTTAGATTTATCACGTTTCAAAATATTTTGATATGCTAATGCATCAAAGGAATGCGTCAAAGAACGTGATGCAATTTCAGATAATAGGATACAAAGTGTACAAACACGATCGAACAACTTCACGTCGATTTTCATTTTATTTCTTAACTAGCGAGAAAAGCGTCGCATTACACATACGCGAGTTTTCATTTCAACGTTTCTCGATTAACAAAAGAAAAAAGAAGAACACGTTTATAAATTTTCATACTTATTTTCTTCGCGTGAATTCTCAGTCGTTCTACTGTAATTTCCGTGTAAATTCTAAATTACACGTTGCATTCGTTCGAAAATTCAGTTGAATCTCTCGTATCACAACTAACGTCGTTATGAAAGCACGCGGTGCTTTTTTTTTTTTATCTAAACTATTACGCGTGGAAAATACGCGAGAAAATAATACATCACGCCACGCAACTAATCCGCTATTAACGTATCTCTGTAATTCGATTAGTCACCATTAAATCCCTGAAAGAACGTAAAAACTCAATGAACTCCTTAAGTGAAGCTCTGTCTACTCGAGATACCATAATCGTTCGTCGTAATCTTTGAAAATACATACTGCGGAAATAATAATGCAAGATCTTTCTTAAAACGAAGTTATCGCTTATTTTCTCACATTTAAGCGACACTTCTTATATTCTTCTTTTTTTATTCACTTCTCTTTAGTGTTTCTCAGAAACGAACGACTTAATTCTACGTTGCAGTTTCTCTCTGTACCTATGAGGAAAGTTTTCACGGATTTTCCAGATCGTATCTGTGTTAATGCGTGCATATATTAAGAAATCATTGCAGGAATAATTACTATATTGACTTGAACTAGGATTACGTTAGCAGGAAATCCTGACGATTATTAAACTAATCGTGAAAATCTGAGAAACATTCGCAACAATCATCGATGCAAAATTGAAACAAATAGTTTAAGAAATTTATTCGTTGAGCTGCGAGAGAGATAAAACAGAGCAGATAAAAAGTGTCGTAAATGTTTATTTATATCAGCGAAAACGTTAGATAAATTCTTTTCGTTTAATTCTTTCCTTTTCTCCGTTTTGCATAAATTTTGTCTTAAAAAGAAAGTGTTAATTGCAAATGCAAAATGGTAACAGCAAATCAAGTGCGAGATTGATAAAACCTATCAATGCCACGTGCCGGATAAATTCCGAAACAGTATAATAATCCTGCAGAAGAGTTTTACGCAAGCTGATAGAACTATCGTCTGCAGAAGCTAAGTTAGACAAAACAAATACTTACGCTCAAGAGAGAGAGAATCACTTGTCGATAAGGCGAATCGACTCGTTGCTCTTTCCTATCTCAATTTCGAATCGAAGCAACTTTCGCGTTTAGATCGACACGCGCCATAAACTTGCTATAACTCATATGCATATACATACATACCGGATGTGAGTTGTGTACGCTTGAATATTTATCGAGGAAAAAGGAAGCTGTAGTATCAAAATCTTTAACCTCTCTACTGTTCTGTTCCTGGAAAATTGTTACTGTTCGTTCGCTTATCGCAGTACGATTTGATACAATTAACGCAATATTTAACTACTTTCATCGTTTTTTAATTGTTTAGTGTTTTAAAAAGTCTTCTTTCATTTTGTACAATTCTTTTTTATTAAATTTCATAAATTTCACTATCCTGAAAATTTTCTAAACTTTCTAAAACATTTTATGGTAATATACAATAAACGGCGATAGCGAGCTAATTTCGGTTGATCGATACAAATAGAAGAAACTCAGTGAACCGTAAAATGTTAATTAACTAGTTTCGTGGGAGGGCAATAAAAGCTTCTGGTTTTTGTTATATTGTTAGTGAATGTTATCACATGTACCGTAACAGTATGCATATCGTAATCACCGATAATACGTAAATTTGTATCTTGTTATTTACATAATTAGTACATATTATTATTTTGAAATACTGGTTAGCATGCTGTTAGAAAAATCATTTAAACACATGATCCCCTCGTTATTTGAAACAGTAGATACATACATATCTTCCTCGCAGCTTATGAATAAAAGATTTGTATATTTCCATATCGTATTACCAATATCGTACTGCATTTGTTTACACCTATCAAAAATTATACCGTTTAAGAAATCTTTTTCATCGACAAGTGTTCAAAAATACACATTCCCATTCATAAGTATTGGGACACTTGTTGAATGTAAAGCAGACCTCTTTGCCGTTACAAATTTAATTATTTGACGTGCAAAAGTCATTAAGAAAATTATTAAAATTCTAAAAGAAAAATGATTCACTCTAGAATCTTGAAGTATAACGAGTATGTGACACTAATTTTGGCGAGAAAATGTAATTCAAATCGTACGACACTTTCTACACGAACATAATACTTATGAATGGCAGTGTATATATTTCTTTTTAATTCCTCTTTAATTCCGTTCCTGATGAAATGAAAACGCGAAAGAAATTTCCTTCAAAATCTTTGTAACAGCTTTAAGTACGATTGCTGTTTTTCTTTTAACATATTATGTATCTATTTTAATAGAACGGCAAGATGCTGTACCAAGAGAAATGTGTAATTGAAATTTAGGCGTTAAACTTTTAACGTAACAAGCATTCATTTATTCGTTACTATTTCCGTCTATGAGTTGTCTCACAAAGGAGCTTACACTCATCTTGTACTGCATGTACAACGGAGCGAATATCCGCATATGTATGCCGAGAATGAGAGACATTGGTAGAGGTATACTTCGTCTGTGACGGTGGCAAAAGTGCCGACATGTTAAGTGCTTATTCGCCGTGTTCAATTTGATTGCACTACAAATAGAGCAACTTTCGTCCAGTGTTATCGATTCTCACGGCCTTTTGTTATCGCAATAACATTCCTTTGTACATTTTCTTCAAGCTTAAAATATCCATTGCAAAGATTCGAATAATAATGTTTTGCCTTCCGAAAAGTGCTACTACGCTTCTCACGTTTTCGCACTTTTACGCGTGTAACATTTAAAAGATGGTAACTGTGACAGAATAATTAAATGTAAAAATGAGTAGATTTCCCAATTTATATAATTTATGAATATTAAAGGAAATAAAAAAAGTGAAACTGAGAAATGGAAAAAATAATAGAAATGACACTCGTAAAAAACTGATAACAAGCCATAGATCATTGTTACTTATAGAAAATCTCATTAATTTGAATGATCTACCTATTAATTTTTTCTCTCGGCACAATCACATTTTCGCTCGTTTATTTCACGTTAACTATAGTTCACAATGAACTTGCAAAAAAAATAGAAAAAGTGCAATACGTCCACAGTAGAAGCTGATAAAAATTGTTATCGAACTAATTAATATCGCACGTGCACACAACTGTTGTTATCGCTCCAAACTTATCCTGCCGACACGTTTTTCCCAAAGTGACACCGAAAGATAGGAACATCGACGAAAAATGAAACGTTTTCTCGCGTATCGTTGCTCGTGTGGAAACGAAACCGCGGGAAAACATTGTTTTTCCGACGAAAAATCCGTCGGATCTAATAAGATCGAGGAGAAATTCGAGAAATATCGAGGGCGATCGTTGTTGGTTCTCCGCCTCGAGAAAGTCCACACGGCATTGAACTTCGTCCACGGTTACATTTGGCTACAGTCGCTGTAGTCGGATCAACTGCGCATATTTTCTGACCCGTTGTTCTATTAAGGCACCAGAATGCCTCCGGCCTGTGCTAAAAAAGTGAGCTAAACAACCTGCTTCCGAAATTCGCGAGTCGCACTTGACGCGTATACGCAGATACGTGAAAAATTCTTAAGAAACTCGAACGCATTCCGGCATATTTGCATACATAGTTAAACGAGCCTTTTTGAATCAACTCCAAACGCTATGTCGGGCTAATTTCGTATCTAACGTTGATGAAACAGTAAACTTTCACTGAGATTCGTGAAAGGAAAATTCTTTTCTTCGGCTTATAGAAATTTTTCTAAATTTCGAGATTTTTATTCTTGAAAGCGATCGATGGAACGATTTTATTTTTGAAAATAAATAACGTGGAAAGTAGCAGGCAAATATTTTTCTCCAATTTCTCCAAACTTCTTTAATTTTCTAGATTTTTACCTTTGAGAGTAATAAAAATGAAATGTTTCTATTTTTGAAAGTAATAAAACTGAAATATTTCTATTTTCGAAACTAACGAAAATGAAATATTTTTATTTCCGAAGTTCCATTTATCTCCGAAGTTTTCTGAGAATTTGATTTATTTCTCGAACAAGTATCGCGGGAAAAGCACAATACGCATTGGTTCACGTGGAAAATTGGCAGAACGTGTTTCATTCGCGTGTAACGTAAATAAAAATCAAGGTTCTCCGCAAAACACAACGAGCATGTGAAGAACGGCGTGGGCGACGAAACGCCTTTCCAACAAGAGACACGTGTAGAATGATTCATGCAACAGTTTTCCGATGATTTTGGGTTTACGAGCAACCGTTTTACAGATAGTTAATTCTAGAAAATTCTTGTAATCTTAATGCAGTAGTGTTGCCTCTCTGGACGAAGTCCAAGTAGCTTTTAAATATCACGATAACAATGCTCATCCAAGTTAAATATGCGGAAGATCAACAACACGTGAATTGTTTTTCTTTCTTTACTACGAAAATGATTTCTTTGTTGCGTCTAGACAAGAAACGCTCTCTTAACGAGCATATTCGACGCAATAAATGTTATCTTGACTAGCAATATTTTTTTTTTCTCCTTTTTTTTCAAACGACCAGCAAGAACTCAGAGACGATCACTCGAAGTACCATCGAGTTAGTTGGAAATTTTCTAACAAAACCCTCGTTCAATGTCTAATTTACATTAAAGCTCGGATTCATCGATCGATCGTGTAATTTTCACGATAAAGTAAACGCACAAATAGATTTCGATACAAGAAACGGAACGTGATTTGGAATTAATGGAATTCGGTAAAGGAACCTTTATACTATCGCTTATCAAAGATTATTTTTAGAAGAAACGTCTGTTGACGATCGTGTAAAACGTTCCAGAAAGCAGCTCTTGCAATCAGCTACAATCAACTTTCGTTCTTTTTCTGAAAATCTCGCTTATTTATCAAATTTCTAACTAGTTAAATATTCGTAAATCTCGAAACATCGCGAGGTTACAGCTTCTCTAAGTGATTATCAACGAAATGTTGCAATATGAAATAGCGTGATATTGTTTTGATAAAGCAGAGTTACTAATATAAACACGAGTCACTTTTTGATCTTAAAAGTATTGCTAAACTTTCATAATTTCACACACTCGTGCGCGAAATACGGAAAGATACAAAGCACGGTTAAGTAATCTTTTTAATTCACAATACTTAGCCAAATGTTAAAAAATCTGCGAACGTGTATAATCAACGATTGCCCAATTGTGGAAATTTACGTTCGATAACATTTGATCTTTTAATTAGGTATTCCCAATTTATTCCATGGATCTTCCGAAGTAACGTCAATTCCTTTGTGACGAACAAATTTCACGCGTTTTCATTCAGAAACCATTGTGAACTTATTGACTTGTCACACGTGCATCGGCAAACATTGAAAACGCAACAATTGCTATTTTTTCTAAATTTCTGAATTTTATTTTGATAGTTTTTATAGCCAAAATTAACGGAAAAGAAAAACACCGTCGAAAGCTGAATTAAAGCAACTTCAAAAACGCGTGTACAAACAGAAGCAACAGAAATTAGCGAAACGCGAAGGGAAAGCAGCATGTCCCTTACCTCTTTTCTCACACCGCACCGAACAGATGTTTCTCAAGATTCTCGATCGCGAGATCTCTCATAGACTGGTTCCGTTTTCCCGCCAGACCTCGTGCATCAAAAAAACACCTTGATACTCCAAAACAATCTAACACACGTTGTCGTTCTCGTTCTCAAATCTCAGTCACTTTACCACGTTCGATTTTTACCAATTCCTTCATACGAATACTTCAACTCTATGTACTTCTATAAGCTACATAGATCCAACAAGATCTTCGCGAGAAAAAAAAAAAAAAGAAAAATGATCGATTCGATCAAACAAGTAAACTATCCTCGAATGAACAGAACGAATAAAAAAAAAAAGAACGAAGAAAAAAAAGAAAGGTTTGTAACAGATACGTTAAGATTGAATCAAGATAAGATCGATAACAGTCAGAGCCGATGGTAAAGGTTTAGAACTGATCGTTTTGACACAAATTCTGCCGTTGAGAAGAGCTAGTGCGACACTGCATTAGCCGTACGTCGTGCACGAGCTACGGCGAACAACTAAAAAGCGAGGGAAGCTCTTACTCGCGCGTGTGGCTCGTGCAAAACTGACTCGATCAATCGCGTGACTCTGCTTCAAAATCTAACCGCACGCCGCCGCCGCCTGTCCGCTGGCGTTCTCCGTTCCTGACGACCGCAAGGGTCGAGACGGAACACGCAGGTAAGTACCGGCGATCATTCCGCGCTACCTATTAAATGCATCGTTCATCGGACGATGTTCGACTTAAGCTCGAACGATGAGATGAGGGGTAAGGATGACGATGGGATCTAGGACAGTTCGTGTCGCGTCGAATGTGTACATGCGGCGAAAAATTAGAATTGATCATTCGATACGTGAAAGTTTTGGAAATCTTGATAAGGCTTGACGATTGAGACTTTATAGGTCTTAAGTTTTTAAAGTTTCGGTAGGTATCTATCAAGACTTCCAGAACTTTATCTAGACTTTCAAGAGTTTTAAATATCGAATTAAACTCGAAGCGATTCGAATTTCCACAGTATCGAAAAATTTCAAATCTCTTCGAAATTGAGATCCAAACGCCCGTCACTGGTTCCAAAATGGCCGATCCTCGCCTTGGACCGTCGATTATCTCTATTACAAAAAATTTACTTCTACGACAGGGAATTACTGCAATTTACCGTTAACAACCTCGTGAAATTGCGAACTGCCGTTGAAGTCGCACAGAGAATCAACGATTGCTTGTAGATACATCGTAGAAAAGGATTGACAAGTGTTGAAGGCTCATTGACGGTTCCGTTGATGAGGAGATTGCACAGGTGGTTGCTCGATTGAATCTGTGGGGTAAATAGAAATAGCAGATGCACAAGTGAAAAATTATAGGAAATGATTTCTTTTTGTTTAACGTGTCGAGGTTTGCACACTTCTCTTTTTCGCGAATCCAAATTATTTTGCTGGCATTCTCGTCGAGCTTTTTACTCACTTCCGGTTTCTTTTTACTCGCAACCAGCAAAACTATGCAGAATAGATTTCTGCATCGATGAGTTTTCAGGCTGATAAAGTGTCTAGCATAAAATGTGCTTGTAACGATGAGTTTCAGTAACGTATATACTCTCCTCTCGTGTTTCTTTATCCGCACTTCCACTCTTTTCAATTTATCCTAATTACCTCGAGCTTACCTTCAATACCTAGCACTGTTTTTACAGTGACGGCGTTATACACAAATTCTTCAAACATTTCTCTTTCTTCTGTCACAAAAGAATTAATTTTTCATAATTTCAATACAAGAAACATTCGCATCGAACGCAAGTATTAAATATATTTCCACGCTTTCAAAGGACGAGAAAAACACTGTGCATACCTACTCTCGTGCATATTCGTCCCTCGTAATATACATTCTCGAATAAGTGACTAGCTTATGCAAAGAATAAATTCTTACCTTCTCGACTGCTATCTAAATTTGAAAACCATCAATTAGTCCAATTTTCGTAGTCCTAAAATGCAGACGGAAGTCACTTGATATATACAAATATTATACATATTCGTTGGACGTTCGTTAAAAAACAGAACACAGAGAAAAGTCAGCGTGTTAAATTAACTAAAAGTCTAACGTGCGAATGTTTGTTTGCATCACTGCGATGCAGATGTGGCTCCTATTAACTCTGATTAAATTGACACTCCTAAAACCACATGTGTGTACGTCCACGAAGAACAAAATACATATCGCGTAGAATAATTTCCTCGTGTACCGCAATGTAAGTGGCTTGATTGTTGCAAGTTTATTGGCGAGGACATGTTAATCGAAAAAACAAGACGATTAGCAATTCCGTTGTACAAATCGCATAATACACGCGAACGTTGATAAGAACGGAGATTACACTCACTTGCTGTAAACATTTTCTTTCATCATTCGTGCGGCATGTTTGGAATTTAATCGTTTCTTTAATTACGAAACAATTATACGAACATAACTATTGTACAATGGAAGAGTACGTATTTATGCGTTTACGTTAGTTTCAATGTCTGAGAAATTTAAAGAACAGTGAAATCAAGGTATCAAGTATATCAGAAAGGCATTTATCGATGCAAAATCTTTTGTATCATTTCGATGTTTGAAAAATAAAAACAAACGAAATACGAATGTAACCTGTTGTTTTACTAATTGTGAGCTATTAACCCTTTCGCGACTAGCGCCGGTTATATCCGGCATCCACTAAATGCTTCACACTGGCTGGCGCCGGTTATATCCGGCACCCACTAAGCGCGTCGCATTGGCTTGCGCCTCAGCAACTCAAAGTAACGATTTATTTTAAAATACAGAACAAGGCCTCAACAACATTCCCTTTATCCAATACATCCTTAAATCCTCCGCTGTTCCAGCGAAATCCTCTAAGATTTTACACGGACACACTGGAAGCTCCAAAAACGCGAGACACTCTTAATGCATATGGTGTGCACTACGACCCGTTCGTTGGTGGCGTACCGATGGCTAGTTCCGATGGTTAAATATATCGTAAGTATTACCGTAAATTTTTCTTAATAGAGACATTTACCGGTAGGAACCGTTCGATCGCAATTTTAAGAACGGACCTGCTACTGAACTCGACTTGCTTTTTCGTTGTTTATTGCTATAATTTTCGCTTATTCTCTCCTCTGTTTTCAATATATGTATGTGACAAAAGTTTCCAGACTCTGAGTTTAATAATTTACAAATAAGGTCTTGTTTAATAAATAAATGAATAAGTAAAGCAAAGTTAAAAATTCTTTACACGTTGGAAGATATCGAAATAGCTCGTTACAACGGACGGATAAAATTCACGTCCTTCCATTTGGATCTCGGAAGAGATAAAAGGCAAAATTAATTTAAGGCTTAAAAAAACAAGAATTCTGAATATTTATCAAGCGTTGGTGAGAATATTTCGTTAAACTGCAAGGTGAAGGTAATTTACATAAGTACTGTTTAAATTTGTACGTGTAATCTAATTAGTCTATTCCGAGAAGAGTGGCTCGTAGTGGTGAATTAATCGTAACAGAAGTTTAATGACCTGTGTAAGCTGAAAAATTCATCTAAGTAGGATGCGAGTTAATGCAATAATGCTCGAATTGCCACTGTTTAAATGTCCACGTAATCTCTGTCGAATTGTTTAATAGGGTAATTGACACGTGCTTTCCTTCAACGAAACATTTATCAGAAAATAAGAAACCGTTGTCTTCGAAGAAGAAAACTGCACATTGAACTTTATATTCTACGCACAAATCATTCTTGTGTAATCCAACGATATATGTCTGTACATAAATACAATGTCGTAAATTGTCTTCCACTTCTCGTTATACCCGTGCATTTATAATAATATTGATAACCCTTATCTGTTCTTATCTTTTCGATAAATATATCGAAATATTTCAAAGTACGTAGACTCCGCGAACCAGAAAAGGTGATTACTCCTACGGAAATAGATTAGAGACGGATTAATGGTAAAACGCAATTCTATTCGCATAAGTTTCAACTGGGGAACACAATTTTAACGAATTTCTGCTATTTTAGGCTTCGCGAAACACTCTGTTCTCTGCAGATTTCGATTGAAATTCACAGTTAAAGCGTTATTTCAGTATTTCCTTTTCTGTTAGGTATATCATTTTTGACGAACTACTGTCATTATTAAAAATATAAAGATTTCACTTCAAATTCAGAACCAAAGCGTTATTTTAATATTTCCATTTCTGTTAAATTATTTTTGGCAATTTACTGTCATTATTAAAAAATAAAGACTTCATTTCAAATTCAGAACCAAAGGTTATTTTAATATTTCCTTTTCTGTTAAATTATTTTTGGCAATTTACTATCATTATTAAAAAATAAAGATTTCACTTCAAATTCACAATAAAAGCGTCATTTCAATATTTCCTTTTCTGTTCCATTATTTTTAACAATCTACTGTCATCGTTAAAAATTTAATATCGTTATTGCTCAATGTCAACTTTAATTTCATTACTAAAACTTTATTCAAGAACCTAATTTAACTTATTTAAAAATCTCCATTAAGAGACTAATTAAACTTCAGAAAGAAACTCAGTTAAGAGTCTAATTAAGCTTCTTAATTTCGCAATAATTTGTTTATTTCCATTGCAATGGAGTATGTTTCAGCGACAAACGAGACGATTCGTTCAGTTTCTCGAGATTTTCATCGGATCTTCTTCGAAATGAGAATTAACGAAACGATTTATTTATCCCGTATTTTTAAATTGAAAATCGACACATATCGATCGCCTGTATACGTCTCAACAGATAATCTGAACTGTTTGACTTTATAACATTTATATCGGTTCATATTAACCTCTTCTAATGAGAAAGGTTTGAGGTCCCTCCCTTAATAAGCCTCGTTAAGCCAATTTACACGAGAGAAGCGTCTAGAAACACGAAGATTAAAGGAACCGTGAAGAAAGATGTCGCGGGGATGCCTTACTCATCTTCCACTAATCAAATGGAATTCCGGAAATGAATTCAAGTGGTTTAACCTTTTCAACAACTGCGCAAAAACTATTTGTGACACGTGCGGCCAAGAAATACATATTTAAACAATTTTCACGTGTAACTTTTACAAATGAAAGAGAACAAAGTCCAATCTTACAATTCTGTTCCGTTACTCTTGTCTGACGTGTAACGAAAGTCGATTGAAATAAACACACGAATAACGCGACATGTAACAAAAGTGAATTCTACGACATCGAGAAGACTTTCGAAATGAAATTCGACGTATGCGAACTCCATTCTAATTGAAAGGTGCATCTGCTTTC